ATATTTATTATTATTATTATTATTTTATTCAAATATTGTCTAATTGAGTCTTATTTACTATTAAACGTTTTCAAACTAAACTTGCTTACACTGCCGTCTTAAATCATATTTCTATCACTGACGAAAAATATGTTGTCTTGCATTAAAATAGACAAATTTAATTAGCCTATTCTATTTACATTTGTATGTGAACTCGAAATCAAACCCAACTTTGCTTAAAAAAGCAGCACAAGATCTCCTAACCGAAGATCACATGATCACTAACGGAAATCACTTCCGTGAAGTGACCATAGCATGCTCCCTTCGCTAACGGACCTCTGGAAGGGCCCTTCGTGAAGGGATTCATTTGGAACGTCCCTACAAATGGCGTCCCCTTCCCAAAGTGCCCTTCATGGGTGCAAAAAAGCTGTTTGGAATTCGCCTTACGTGTTCTAAAATCAGCTGAAAATATCAAGCGTTTGATCTCCTTTGACTGGGTGGAATCATACACTATGTGAATTTCTATGGAATCTGTCGACTCAAATCTGCAGACTGGCTCTGACTTTTGGCAACTAGCGTCGACTTCTCCAGACTGTAAATCGGCAGAAAACCGCGTAGTGTACTCCAGGCTTTAGCCGCAGCGCTTCACGTCTGATGTGTGACACGCATTACAAAGTGCAGTAAATGGTAAAACAATTGCGCTACATGTTAATGTGTGTTAGTGCATTAATAAATGTAAAATAAATACCAGTTTACAACATCCAGCAGCAACTGTTTTGCACAGCTAAATAGGCTAAATGGAGATGGCTGACACCCCCTCAAACACTCAAGTTCAAGCCAGCTCTTGCATTAAAAAAAAGAATAGTTTGCATGGATCTAGTCTTTGCATCTGTTTGTCTGATGTTTGAATCCAGTCTCCTCTGTTGGAATAGAGCTGGCTAGATGGCGCTGTCCTAGAAATGCGGTCGTGAAGCAGCAGTCTCCGGTTGTGCAGGATCATACTATTGGTTTAGGGTTCTCCTGTTCAGGACATGTTCAGCTGCACACAATACTTCAGTTGTGGTGTTTGGTTTGGAAGCGTCACGGCCTGATCCTGCAGCTTCTGCACTGAGAAGAAGCTTGAGTCGCTGTGACACATGCAGGTTAAGGCAGTCGACGGAGATTAGTTAACTGGGTTAGTGAGGTTGACCTGTGAGATTGACCTGGAAACTACCGGCCCTGATCGGCTGAAGACGCAGCGCTGAGGCCCTGTCACGCCAAGTGCAGATATTCACAGTAAACAAGAGTTACTGTGTTCACAGCCAGCGACAAACATAGGATCTGAGCTCTGTGGATCACACGTCCACGGATGTTGCAGCTACTAGTTTTTTACTGAATTATTTACTTCAGTAAAAAAAAAAAAGTTATTTGCTTGAAGTGTTCAACAAGCATCCACACATTTGCGATCCACATCAATATTTTTAGTCACATTCACTTTGCACTGCGTTATTTCACCACTTTCCTCTTTACTGTTACAGCTTCCATCCAAAATGTTAAACTGAGAATGAACCTATTTAATGATGCGTTTCAATTGGTCTTTCCTGTGTTAAGCGTTAAACATGCTTCATTTCAAACACGTATCGATTGCAATTATTCCTCTTACATTCTCTTATTTTTCAGCTCAAATAGAGCGTTTTATTTGTAGTTTATATTGATTCTTGTGTTGTGACGAAACTGTGCTAGAACTGGACTGTCCCTTTCTGTTATTGATACGGTTGATTTTCAGTGGGAGCTTCACACAGTTGTCATCTGATCACTGGATCTCTCTCTGTCAGAGTTTAGCTGACTGTAATAATAATGCATCCGATACTGACAATGAGATCCTAATGCTTTTCCCTTCGTGCAGCCTCCTCCATCCATGAGTGTGTGGGTTTGGTTCTGCATGTAAGGGTCATGTGATGCGATGGCTGACTGTGTTTTCTTGTTCGATTAGGCTGTTTTCCAGCCAGTTGTCGCTACAGATGATTTTCAGATGTTTCGCTCTCTGATGGTCCAGAAGAACATGGAGCTTCAGCTGCAGGCTCTGCATGTCATCAAAGAGAGAAACGGTACTCAACACATCCAGATTTGCACGTGTGATTAGTTAAACTTCATTACATGTATTATATTTGACATGGCTCTCACATAAAACCAGCTCCCATTTTTCAGGAGATGATGGAGTAAATGTGGAAGCCTGTTCTGCCATGGGATAAAATAAATAAATAAATAAATAGCTGCTTTTTTGTTTAAATTCTGATATTTTGACTTGAATTTTGAGCCAGAATTGCGAGATGTAAACTCAGAATTGCAAGAAAAAAGTCAGGATTCTGAATTTGTCTCAAAATTTTGAGGAGAAATTGCAAGGAAAAAAGTCTGAGTTGTGAAATAAAATTTCTTTTTTTTTTTTTTTATCCCACGGCTTCCACAAGAGTCTGTCAGTGTCTAATTTGTTTGTAAATTCAATTATTACTATTAATTATTACTATTATTATTCAAATGTTTCATTAATGCTGACCTGCACCTTCACATTGATTTTATTGTGAGTGAAGCAGAATGTGTGGGTCTGCAGAGCTATGGCTGTCTTGCACTATATCTGTGTGTGTGTGTGTGTGTGTGTGTCTGTGTCTGTCTGTCTGTCTGTGTGTGTGTGTGTGTGTGTGTCTGTCTCTCTGTGTGTGTGTGTGTGTGTGTGTCTGTCTCTCTGTGTGTGTGTGTGTGTGTGTGTCTGTCTCTCTGTGTGTGTGTGTGTGTGTGTGTCTGTCTCTCTGTGTGTGTGTGTGTGTGTGTGTCTGTCTCTCTGTGTGTGTGTGTGTGTGTGTGTCTGTCTCTCTGTGTGTGTGTGTGTGTGTGTGTCTGTCTCTCTGTGTGTGTGTGTGTGTGTGTGTCTGTCTCTCTGTGTGTGTGTGTGTGTGTGTGTCTGTCTCTCTGTGTGTGTGTGTGTGTGTGTGTCTGTCTCTCTGTGTGTGTGTGTGTGTGTGTGTCTGTCTCTCTGTGTGTGTGTGTGTGTGTGTGTCTGTCTCTCTGTGTGTGTGTGTGTGTGTGTGTCTGTCTCTCTGTGTGTGTGTGTGTGTGTGTGTCTGTCTCTCTGTGTGTGTGTGTGTGTGTGTGTCTGTCTCTCTGTGTGTGTGTGTGTGTGTGTGTCTGTCTCTCTGTGTGTGTGTGTGTGTGTGTGTGTGTTACAGGAGGGCTGCCCCAGTGTCTGACAGACGGCGTGGACGTCGTGAGTGAACTCGAGCAGCGGGAAATGAAGATTCTTCAGGAGGTTCTCAAGTAATTTCCCCTCATGACCTGCGCTGGCATTAGACGTGCTGCTTATATAACGAGCAGGTTTTCCCGAGCGCTGTGTCTCTGACAGACATCAGTGGCAGCACGTGTCGTCCTGCAGTGGATATCATATGCATCCATTCACCAACATCCGTCACAAACTTTGATCCAGCGCACTGATGTGTTCCAGGACTGCCGTGTTACAAAACCTTTCAAATGCTCCGCTTTTTAAAAATATTTGCACAATAAATAGCTGAGACCCACTTAGTGTAAGTAACCTTACTGCGAGGTTACTTCAACCTGTAAAAGGATTGATAGTGTTCACAGTAAGCCAGGTATATAAAGCCACTGCGAGACCACTGGCAGTTAAGCAGCTTAACGTCCCACCCAAAAAGAGCGGCGTGATATTCTTAGTGTGCTGGCTTACTGTTCGGTTCACAAACGCATGACTGTAGATCAGTGCGGCTCTGTCCCGAAGTTTCTGTTTCTGTTAATTAAGATGCTAACGTTAATGAATGCCATTAAGCGATCAGGGTTAGCAACAGATCACATTGCTCAGGACAAATGTTTGAATCCAAACCTGGATTTAGAGCTCCTCTGACTCCGATTCGTCTTCTGCAGCTGTGACCGTCAGAGACTGGATTTACAGCAGATCATAGAGGACCTGTCAGTCTGAACCTGTATGATTTTAGAAGACTATTCTGGTCACTGAAGCAATATGCAACATAATATGAACAGAAATGTATTCATCTCTATGTGATTGTGTTTCATGTCCTCTGAAGCCATGTTATAGCTGTGTAATGATGAATAGACTTGAATCTTTAGCTTTTTGGTCATTTTCGGATCGTGACAGCTTCATTCACTTTCTCACACGTGTAATTATATCTCAGTGTATTCTATCAGTAGGCTGTGAGATGTTGGGAAATTTTGGAGAGTTTATTATAAGATGTCTTTGTTACGCGCTACATATACTATTATAATAACAATTATGCATCATTGCATGCAAGTAACCCTAAGACAAACCCTAATCCTAACCGTAACCATATAGTAAGTACAAGTAGTTAACTAATATTACTCAGTACTTAAATGTGTAATTACACTGTAACAAGGCCACCTTAAACGAAGATCCTGTGCTCACTGAGTAGGGAGCAGTGAACACTGTTTAGGGACGCTGTCGACTTGTGGCTGATAAGCAGCATGCTAACTGTTCAATCAGGTATTGCAGTATCAGCTGTGCTGTATTGTTTGTGTGTCTGCAGGAGGTCAAAGGAGGAGTATGATCTGGAGATGGAGCACAGGGTGCAGGAGACGGAGGAGCAGGCCTCCACCTCCAGCAGTCTGTCTGAGACTCCTCTGTGTGACTCTGTGAGCCAGCAAACCAGCGCAGTGAGTCTGACGCTCATGCAGTGCATATTTCACAATAACATTATACTATCATATAGATGGCTTGCTGGAAATAAGTAAGTAGTAAGAAAACCTAGCTACTTTCAAGAACAGATGTCGCAGAGTGCTTCTAAGAAAAATACTAAGAAATAAGCTGTAGCATTGCTAAAGTTTTGGATACAGTGACATCCAGGGCTGAAACTCACCTGAACCAGCTGATCAAGTGGTTCAGGATCACTAGAAGGATTCAGACAGGCCAGTAATCAGAATCAAATAAGAACAAAGGAAATTATTGTTCTGTTGTATTTATATAGTGTAATAAAGAGTCCTGTCAATTTTGAGTTTGGTAGTATCTGTAGTATACAGAAATTGAATAATCAAATGTGAAATAAAACACAGCATAGTCTTTACTGTATGAATTCAATCTAAATTGGTTCTTTTTAAAGATTCAAAAGTTATTCAGACAAGATTTATAAATATGTAAATAAATCATTTTGTATGTTTTTATTGTGCCATGTGACGGGCATCTTTAGACAGTGTGCGAGGAAAATCACCTGAAAGTTTGAATTAACAAGGCTTATAAATGCATGCAAATAATAAACTCGTGTGGTGATACAGATCATAACCATGAAATCCTGTATGTAGAGCCGCTGCAGTGCTGTGAGGTGTTTTGACCTTACTAGCTTGTTCTGACCATCTCTGTTTCAATCATCCTTGCACAAGTGCTTTATTGATGTTTTGATGACAGTAATGTTGCTGCTAGAGAAGATGAGGGTGACTGTCTGATTCACAGTGAAATGATCATCATCTGAACGTTTGATCGTAATGTGTGTGTTTTGGTGTCATTCAGTGAAGTTTGAGTCTGTTATTGTAGTGCACTTCCTCATGTTGTGTCTAGATAGATGACGGGACAGAGATTAATGTGTCCAGGAGGACACATTCAGGACTGATGTTTTGCTCACGTCTGTATGTGGTTTTACTGGTCCAGTCACAAAATGTTCCTGACCCTTTTAATGGCAGTGAATGGTGAGAACGTTCAGCTTTACTGAAGTTGCATCTTGTTTTAAAGCTTGAAGAGAAGGTCACTATTCACTGTCATTATACAATCAAACACAAACAGGACATTTTTACCTTTCTGGTTTTGTGTTCTGGAAAAGAAGGAGGGTGAACAACAGCAGGGTGTGATCTGACCCTTCAGCAGCAGGTGCAAGCAGGACCATGTTCTGAAGTCCTGCAGATTTGTGCTGCTCCTGATGGCTCCTGTCTTTCTGCTCTCCACAGACCAACGGCACGACAGATGCTAAAGAGCTGAAGTTAAAGGAGTCTGAGTCTGCAGCAGTCAGGAGTTCAGCTGCAGCCACACCGTCATGTGAGTGTGCGAGAGTGTGTGTGTGAGTGTGTGTGTGTGTGATCACATCTGACACCAAACTCACACCTGAAGCACATCTGTTGATGAATGTGAGTGTGAGTGTGTGCGTGCGTGCGTGCGTGAGTGAGTGTGTGCGTGCGCTTGAGTGTGTGCGTGCGCGTGTGAGGGAGGGAGTGAGTGTGTGTGCGTGAGTGTGAGTGAGTGTGTGTGTGCGTGCGCGCGAGTGTAAGTGTGAGTGAGTGTGTGCTTGTAAGTGAGTTAAGTGTGTGTGTGCGCGCGTGAGTGTGTGTAAGCGTGAGTGAGTGAGTGAGTGAGGTCATTATTTCATCCTCCCACCAACAGATTCAGACATTCATGTTAATTGTGATGCACATTCAGTTTTTAAACGTGCTGTTTGAAAGAAGGCCACAGTTGCCATCGAGAGCCCTTATTTTTCCATAAATAGGTATTGATTCACGCCACAGTGTATGATGAGGTTTTTGTGTTTGTGTGTGTGTGTGTGTGCGAGTGATGAGTGAGTGTGGCGCGTGTGTGTGTGTGTGCGTGAGTGTGAGTGAGTGTGCGTGCACGCGCGTAAGTGAGTGTAAGCGTGAGTGTGTGTGCGTGAGTGTGAGTGAGTGTGTGCGTGCGCTTGAGTGTGTGCGTGCGCGTGTGAGTGAGGGAGGGGGGGAGGGTGCGGGGGTGGGAGTGAGTGTGTGCGTGCGCGCGCGAGTGTAAGTGTGAGTGAGTGTGTGCTTGTAAGAGTGAGTTAAGTGTGTGTGTGCGCGCGTGAGTGTGTGTAAGCGT